CTTTTCAAGCTCTTCCAGTATGATGCTTCCAGAGTCCCTGCAGAAATATTTCAGTTTAGTTCGGATCCTAAGCCTGTTGTTGTTGAGTGCCATTTATTAGTCATTTAATGAACCATACTAGGTCATCATCTTCCTTTGACAAAAGTGTGTTGTGACTTTAGCCAAAAAAGAAAAACAATGCTTTTTAAAAAATCGTGATGGTTATTCAAACAAGACGAGCTTGAAGTCTGTGTGTGAGTCAGAGTATAAAAACACCCTTTGACAACTAACAGAAAGTAGCCTGTAACATTCCTTTGACTTCTTTCAAAATATCAGAGAAAGTACTTATCATGTGTGTAATCCAATTGTTTAGCATTGGCACAATGGAAAGAAATATGAACACAGAACAAGCTGTACAAAATGTTACACTGGCTTAAAGCTTTCCATACCGAGAGTTGTTGGTCGGTTCGCCAAGCTGACTGGTTTTTATGCAAGCGCTTCATCTGCCTTGTAGGTGACATTGTCAGTGCTGTGTAGCCTCCATTGAAGCTTCGACGGAGACGACATGGCACTGATGATGTCATCTACAAGGGAGATGAAACATTTACACAAAAACTAGTCAGCTTGGCAAACCAACCAACAACTCCAACCGCAATCCAAGCTACAGATCTTCAATAAAACACTTTCCATACATACCTACTTTTTTTTTTACTTGGCATTTGGGTGTCACTGGCAAGGTGACGTTTATTGATCATTCCTCTTCACACTGAGAGGTTGCTGGTGGGCTACCCTCTTGGACAACTGCAATGTTATGATAATTGAACTCCTGTAATGGTCTTCATTTGCGGAAAGAGTTTGACTCCTGTGGCAGTAGGGAAATAGTGATATGTTTCAATATAAGGATGATGTATCTTGGTGGTTATGGTGATTCTGTGATTCTGTGATTTTGTTGCTTGTTTTCTTGGAAGTAGAGGTCGTGAGGCTGAGAAATGATGTCAAGGTAACACTGGTGGATTGCTGCACTGAACGAATGGTAGACATTGAGCTTAAAAGTATGAATAATGATTAAATGGAAGATATTTTTAACTAACCTATTCAGACATGTTATGCCTGGAACAGATAGGGCTTGAACTTCGGTCAAAGAGATTGTTATGGTTGCGTCAATTTGGATGCACGACAATTATTCCATTTGTCTCCTATTTTGTGCAACTGATGTTTGAGAGAATTGGAAGGCTGAAGAAATGAGAAACATAGAAACGTAGGAACAGGAGGAGCCATTTGGCCCTTCGAGCCTGCTCTGCCATTCTGCATGATCGTGACTGATTGTCCAACTCAGTAGCCTAATCCTGTTTTCTCCCCATAGCCTTTGATCTCATTTGCCCCACGTGCTACATCTAGTTGCCTCTTGAATACATTCAATGTTTTGGCATCAACTACTTCCAGTGGTAATGAATTCCACAGGCTCACCAATCTTTGGATAAAGAAACGTCTCCTCATCTCCGTCCTAAATCGTCTACCCGAATCGTCTGACTGTGACCCCTGGTTCTGGACACGCCCAACATTGGGAACATCCTCTCTGCATCTATCCTGTCCAGTTCTGTTAGAATTTTATAAGTCTCTGAGATCCCCCCCTTATTAGTCTGAACTCCAGCAAAAACAATCTCAACTTATTCAGTCATACGTCAGACCAGCCATCCCCAGAATCGGACTGTTAAACCTTCGCTGCACTCCCTTGAGAGGAAGAGCATCCTTCCTCAGAAAAGGAGACCAAAACTGCACACAATATTCCAGGTGTGGTCTCACCAAGGCCCTGTAGAACTGCAACAACACATCCCTGCTGCTTTAGTTGAAACCTCTCTCAATGAAAAACTTGTTGCAAAGTAATCAGCTCTTCCCTATTTGTCTTGAAATGACTGATCCAGTCAGGTTGCTGCCTAAGGTGACAAGGGTGGGAGAGAAAATGCTAGAGTCTATTATAAAGGAAATGTAACAGAGTATTGAGAAATGCATAATGTGATCAAGCAGAGTCAGCATGACTTCACAAAGGGGAAATCATGCCTAACAAGTATATTAGAATACCTTGAGGAGGTGACAAGCAGCATAGATAAAGTGGAAGCAGTGGATCAAATATATTTGGATTTTCAGAAGACGTTTATTTAAAGCTCCAGCCAACAAACTAGTTAATAATAGCCCATGTTGTTGGATTGGAATATTATCATGGATAGACGATTGGCTAACTAATTGAAGACAGTGAGTTAGGATAATGGGGTGCTATTTTCAGGATGGCAACATGTAACTTGTGGAATGCCATAGGGATCGGTGCTGGGACCACAATTATTTACAGTATATATAAATGACTTGGAATGTGAATGCACCATACCCAAGTTTGCGGATGACACAGAAACTGGTGGGAAGGCAAGTGGTCATGATGACACAGAGGGATAAGACAGGTTAAACGAGTGGGCAAAAACTTAGCAGATGTAATATACTGTGGAGAAATGTGAGCTCATGCACTTTGGCAGGAAGACTAAAGAAGTTGAATATTATTTAAATAGAGAAAGACTACAGACAGTTATAGCCCAGATGGATTTAAATCGAACGTGTACCTACTAGATTTTAGAAGAATCTGAAGTGACCTTAATGAAACATACAAGAGTCTTAAATGACTTGACAGAGTAAGAAAGTTGTCTCTCCTTGTGGTACAGTCTCGGACCAGAGGGCATCGTAGAATCATAGAATCCCTACAGTGTGGAAACAGGCCCTTGGCCCAACAAATCCACACCGACCCTCAGAGCATCCCACCCAGACCCATCCGCCTATAACTCACCTAATCTACACATCCCTGAACATTATGGGCAATTTAGCATGGCCAATCCACCTAACCTGCACATCTTTGGATTGTGTGAGTAAACCGGAGCACCTGGAGGAAACTGGAGCAGACACGGGGAGAATGTGCAAACTCCACACAGACAGTCGCCCGAGGGTGGAATTGAACCCGGGTCCCTGGCACTGTGAGGTAGCAGTGCTAACCACTGAGCCACCGTGCTGCCAAACTTGCAAACTCGGCACAGTTGCACTGATGAAAACCACATGCTTTACCAGCATAAACTACAAGCAAGCTCTGACCCTAAAAGAAACATCCTTAATTTTAATTTACAGGATTATCTGGAATGGAATGGTTAAAATCATAATCACCCAACAAGAAATCCGATTCTATTAGTGAACCAGGTTGGCTGACCAATCATAACCTAGGCTCTAACTTTTTCGAGATTCCTTGGTCTTCGCAAAACAAAAGCTGAATTCCAAACTTTCACTATTACTATGTCTCTCTCCAAATACCTTATTCACAAAGAGTTCCTTTACTCCCCTCCATGCCCACTCCAATAAGTTTAGACAATGTCTTGTGCTGACATACTGGCAAGATGGGGAGGAGGTGCCATCAATAGTTCATGTCTACGTTTTTAAGCAATTTTTAACTTCACTGAACAAGCATTAATAAAAATGCAATCCGACATTACAGTCGGAGCCATACAGCACAGAAACAGATCCTTCGGTACAATTTATCTGCACTGAAGGATCTCAGACCGAAGGGTCTGTTTCCATGCTGTATGACTCTATGACTCTGATGTCAGATTGGTGTGTCAATCCACCAGCTGCAAGTTGAGTTGGCCTATTTCAATAATACATCACATGCTGAAAACTGAAGTCATGAAATTTATTGCCTGTTTTGTGAAGCAACTCCAGTTATACTCAGCTGAACTCAAGGACCAGAGAATGTAAAATTGTGCAGGCCTTCCAGCATCTAGAATGCGTCCTCCTGCACTCCCAATCCAAAGACCAATTGTACCATGCTTGATCACACCATAAAATTAGGAAAAAGTTTGTGTTTTCTAAAAGATAAAGAGTTTTTATTTGATTTTCAGACTTCATCTTCCATTAAACTGTGCTTGAAGGACAGTATGTCAGCAATGAAATGATCTAACTGTATTAATGTTATTATGTCATTAGATAAACTGAAATGCCATCTTAGAATAAGGGGTCATCCATTCAAAACAGAAGAATTTCTTCTCTCAGAGGGTAGAGAATCTGTGGAATACAGCCCTTCAGAGGGCTGTAGAAGTTAGGTTGTTAAATATGTTTAAAACTGAGATAGCTTTTTAATCAGTGAGGGAATGCAGAATTGTGGGGATAAGGCAGGAAAGTGGCTATAATCAGCTATGATCTCATTGAATGGCAGTGTGGACTTAAGCTGAATTGTCTATTTCTTCTCCCATGTCTTATGGTCATAAGGTAGGGTGATACTGTTGAAAGTCAGGCTGAAGTAATTAGGTTCATTTTTTGCTTGAAAATGGTCATTGCTTGGCACTTAAGTGGTCAACTAAAATAAAACAAAGAACTGTGGATGCTGGAAATCTGTAACAAAAATAGAAATTGCTGGAAAAACTTAGCAAGTCTGGCAGCATCTGTGGAGCGAGAAACCGGGGTCACTGGACTCAAAACCTTGATCGGTTTCTGTTTTTGTTATCTAAGTGGTCCAAATGTTTCTGCCACTTGTCACCCAATGCCTGATGCTAGTACCCTTGCTTCTAAGGAATAGTAACTTTCTGTGTTTCAACATTCTAGATACACATTATAATGTATATTCTAAAGTAATTTGCCCCAAGTCTTCAAAATAGGTATGATAGGACATAAGCACAGAACGTGGGATCATGAATGTGAGATGGTCACTAATAAACCCAATAAGGAATTTAAGGGAGATATCTTAACTCAAACTACTGAGCAATTGTTGCTAAATGGAATTGTTGATGTAGATTTACAGGGAAGTTAGAAAAGTACACAAGGGAGAAAAGAATAGATGATCTGCTATTGTGTGAGACCAGTTAAGGTGGGAGGAAGCTCGGAACGTGTGGAGCATAAACACCAAATTAGATTGACTGGCCTGTTTCAATGCTGTAAAATTATTTGTAAGATATGTTCTATGAAAATTCACACCTTGATTGATTTCAATTTGTGTTCAACAGGTTGAAACGTCCATTTGTCCCGACTACAGAGTGCATATTTGAATTGCCCAGTCTGACTTTACAAGCTACGAGGGCCCAGACCCTGCTGCTGCAAACCATTTTACAGAGTTGGACACACAATACGGGAACGTCAGTATCATTGCCAGTAGATGAAGCTTTACTTAAGGACATCTTCAGACCTTCAGGTAAGACATCTTCTAATTGATTGCAACCATCACGCAAAGCTGAGACATTTACTTTAATATTATTGGCTAGCTGGCAATCAAATATTGGTATTGAATGCAGCTCTTCGCGAAATCATTTTTCATGAATATGGTGAATTTGATGTTATTTGGACTGCTTCATTTCAGACCAATTATAGCAAAACAAAATGACTTTTAAGGTTGGGTCCTGTTTCACAATTGCAGAGAAATTTGATGATAACTTTAAGGAGCTCAAGTATACTCAGGTGGAATTGGAAGAGGAGAAAAATAAGGATAGATCAATAGGATTGTGAATGTTCAAATGTTTGTATAAAAGCTTCAGAACCTATTAGTGTTTACATATAAATAATTTCATGATCTGTTTTCTTTGGAAAAGGTGTTGCTTTTCCAGTAAGTGCCACAGCTGCTGTCATAATCTTAATATTAGAACTGCTGTGTGCTGGAAGAATACATTCCAGTTTTAAAAACAAGATTATTTTACAGAAGGGTAGCTTTCTGTCCCCAAAAAGAAGACCAGGTGGGTTTCACTAACCTGCTTCTAAGTAGTCATGGAGTGATAAAACTTCATATCACATTAACATAGGAAGCTCAAAAGTAGATCCATGGATCACAAAAGAACAGTTCTTGAATTTTAGGACCCTCTGGGGCATATGTTGAAATTTTCAACTCTCGTTTTGTGAGAGGATTGCACTGACATCACATGCACGGTCTTTGGAAGTGACGTTAAACTTTTTTCATCAGTGCCTAGCACATTATGTTCGCCAATATTACACAAACTTGCAAACAGTGATTGCATCCCAATCCTCAGATTTGTTATTTGTAGCAACTGAATGCAAACAAATGTAAGAAATCAAGTATTTTCAAGCACTAATTCATTGGAAAACCTAAGAACAGTATTTTATAAACTTTTTGATTAAAAAAAAAATGTTTATATATGTAGGAGTGCAATGAGAAGTGAATGCAGTGAGCATGTTAAATCTCATTAGTCAACATGCCATTTATAGAGTGGATTATCATGAATTTACACGAGCTGTGAATGGATTTTCAGGTTGAGTCATGCAAGTGTTTCCACATGCAGTCATAGCATCTTCATGCGAATTGACTCTCCCTGCCCTAGAATTACACTGCAGTGATGTGAACTGGATATATGTATCTTTCTTGCACAAAAATCTGATTTCCCTGAAGGTGAACTCAGGGAACATTTGGTGCCACAAGTTTTGATATGTTTCTTGTTGAATGTTTGCATTGCGTGAAAGTATTGAATGTTTTGGTCATACAGACATTGCTGTTTTGACGGTCGAATGTCTCAAATGGTAAATTATTTTGGTGAATTGCCAGTTATTTTGCTTGCCACTGAAAACTCGGTTGTCAATAACTGACTCAGGTTCATAATGTGTAAATAATTATCAGCAACACAAGCGCTGTAACTACAATAATTCTGCTTTAAATTAAACTGGTGTCTGGTCAACTGTGCTTGAAATGAATAAATCTATGCCCAAAAATAAAATGTTCACATAAGTCATCATCATTAATATTGCCTTCAGATAACTGCTTCACAAAATGTTCTATATAATCTGAAGATATTGCAGGAAATGTGTTTATTCCTATTTCTTCATGTTGTAACTGAGGTACTTTTGAGTTCAGGCAAACATGATGTCAAATAATATTGACTTGATTGATCTCATATTTACTCTGAAACTTCTCAAATCTAATTTATTTTAAAAAAAAAACTTTGTTTAATATATGTAAGTGGGTTTATATAATATGACTAAAATGTAATTGAGAATATGCATCTGTTTTTCAGTGAATAGCATAGCTATATTACCAGTGTATCTTGTAATGATGAATTCTTTACTCTTGTACTGTGTGTCACCTTGTGCACTATAGATCTGCGCTGTGGTTACTTGGAACAGAATATTCAATATGAGAATCAACTTCATTTTCTACCTAGCATATTTTGGATTTTTATAAAATTTATCTGTAGTTTTATCAAGGTATTTTGCCATATTATACATATCTACCTGGTTTCATTTTATTCCTTTGTCTTGTGAAAAAAACCTTTTATTCTTGGGAAGATGATCAAGAGTCCTGTAGTATAACGTCTCTTTTTAGAATTTGCCACAAAAACATTGCGTACCATTTAATTGAAGAATAAAGGCGAGTTTTGGCAGATGCTTAAAGTCGTCTTTTATTATTTCATTAGCTTGCAGCAGCAGGCATTTTTGCTCAAAGCCACACACCTTCAATTTTCTGTTTATTAGAAGATTGGTTGAAAGGTGTCATTGAGTGAATTACAGGTGCAAGTGCCTCCTGTTTAATTTGGAAGTAATTGGGAAAGAGGTCTGCCATCACTCGCTCCTCAGAGGGGGAAGAAAAGCAATGACACAGGAAAGTACTACTAGCTGCAAGCAGAAAGCATTCAAGCATTTGCCAACTCTGACACTCTCTGTTGGGATCTTCCATCCTCCACTTGGCACAAATTTCGACTTAGTCAAAGCACTCGACTTGTATTATATTTTTGCTTGTCTATCACTCTTGTCCTTGCTGAGAATGTTTTCTTTTGATTCCTCTAACTCTTTAAATGTACAAGGAGAAGCAGCACTTCAAACTAGTCTACTGCATTCGTAGAAAGCAATGTGGTCTCCTTTACACTAGGAGACAAATCATAGTTTGGATGACTGTTTAGCGGAACACCTATGCTCTGACTGTAAAATAATGTCAGACTACCAGTTGCCTGCCACTTAAATACACCACTGCGCTCCCATGTCACCATTTCTGTCTCAGGCCTACTATAGTGCTCCAGTGTAGCTCTAGGCCTAGGTCCCTCATTCCCTGCCTAGGTACCTTACAGCCTTTAGGACTCAACATTGAGTTTAACAATTTCAGAGCATGAACACTCTCCTCCATAATTGTTACCCACCCACCTCTCGTGAACAACATGTTCTGTATGAGTTGCTTCCAGCAAAGCCATCCTATTTTCAAGCTTCTTGTTAGTACCCATGTATTCTACCCACTCCTTTCCCAACCCCACCCCCAGTATCAGCATAAAATCTATCATTTCCCAGCTGCTTTCACTTCTGGAGAAGTGCCACTGGATTCTAAATATTAACTCTGTTTTTTCTCAACAAACGCTGCCAGATCTGCTGAGTTTCTCCAGCGCTTCTTGTTTTTGTTCCTTTTATAACTTAGCTCACTTGATGTGAAGGCAAGAATGCTATTAACATTCTTGCTTACTATTTGTACTTGACCACTGTAATCTGTTTTCCTGGACCCTTAACTCCCTTTGAATTTCCACGGCTGATGGGTATTCACCAAATTAGACATTCTCTGATCTATTGTTCTTTGGTCTAAAGTGGAGGACCTTGCACTTTGTCATTGAAATCAACCTACCACAATTTTGCCCGCACATTTTATCTATGTTTTCTTCTAATATTGTTCTCCCTGTTGTACTACTCAGCATCCTGCTAACCATTTTGTCCAAATAATTGTTTGGTAGTACACAATTTGAGCATTGAAGGAAGCCATATTTTGGCAAGCTTTTCATCTTGCAATCAGGATGTTTTGCAAGAATACCAATTCAAAGGGGAACCAACAGTTATTCTGCGTGAGAGGAGAGTGCTGATTTTGGCAAGTGGATTTTAATTGGTGGAGGTATTCCCATGGAGAATGAACCCAATGAGGTGATTGACTGTCAGATTTTGTTTAAATTTTATAGTGGGGTCAGGTTTACTCTGGTCAAGGAACTTTCTGAGAAGTGAACCAGCAGATGTCTGTCATTTATTTTGTTGATTTGAAATAAAGGTAAAAGTGAAGTCGCTATAGTCCCAGAGGAATATAGGCTGCTCTGTCATTATTGAGAGACGACTGGTGGTGAGTTTAACCTGAGGGTCACCATGTCTCAGGCAAGAGGCGAGGTTGAGAAGGCAGAATATTCATTGTAACCTCAGTCCTTACTATAATTGAACTCTCACTGTTGGAATCCCTCTGTATCACAAAGCAGCCATCCAACCAACTGAGCTCACACTGGCACTGAAATTCATATACCACATTAGACAAGTAATATTATATATGAATTTTGATGAAATATGTTTCTTTACAGTAATCATCGTTGTGTCATTAAAATACTTGGGTAAATATTATTGCTTTCTAAGTCATAAATTGGTCAGTAATTAGGAAATAAAATTGAGGAACTCTGGAGATTTCAGCAAAGATTCTTGTAGGACATCATGTGTGATTTCATTCCGATTTGAGCAAGTGACTGTTATACCTGTTCTTTTTCTACTGCCAAACTACTCTCATGAATGGTCTAAATTTGCCTTCGATTTCTTGACTTTAATTTTTAACTAGAAGTGGCTTATGTGGAACTTAATTGAATTGCACAAAATTAACATTCCGGATACATGGGATCATCGCTCAGTAGAAGAGAATTTGGAAGGTTGTAGTTGAAACACCCACCATTTCTTCATCTGCTTGATTTTGAAGTCTCACGTTTGAAACATGGGTTAGCTGCTTGGCATTTGGCACTCTTTAGTGCCATTACTTTTTTTTCTAATACTGTTTTTTTGCTAATATTAACTTGAATGAGTTCCAATTTAAGTCCTTAATTCTTAATTAGTTTCCCCAGTATACGGATATATTGTTTTCCTCTACAATATGGATTGCCATATATCAATTAATCTGTCACCTCCTTACTTCCATTTGCAATATTATCCAGCTTTGTTTTTAAATGGCCTGCATTGCCCTTTCTCTTCTACAATGATCACAAAATCTAATTGAGTTGTTGAAAGTTTTCACTTTTTTTTGGTTAGATTAATTAGTCAGAATATTATTCATTTTAAGCAAAGTCAAAGCCATGAAATTAGTAGATTAGCATTGCTCCTAGAAGAAATTGATTGTCCCAAAATGAGTCTCAGAATTCTGAAAGTGAAATATTGCTAACTTTTCCATTCTTGACTAACACTTTATTCTATGTTATAGATTTT